TCTCTTGCTGCTTTTAATATTCTTTCTTTGTATTTAACCTTTGGCATTTTAATTATGATGTGTCTTGGTGTGGGCCTCTTTGGATCCCTGGTTTTTGGAGTTCTCTGAGCTTCCTGGGGTTTTATGTCCATTTCCTTCACTGGGTCGGGGAAGTTTTTCATCATTATTTCTTCAAACAGCTGTTCAACATCTTGATTTTCTTCAGGTTGCCGATCAGACAGATATTTGGACCCTTAATCGTGTCCCATATACTCCTTAAATTATTTTTATAGTCTTGGCATCTTATATCTTGCCATTCTGATTGAGTGTCCTTGGCTTTCCTGTCCTCTAGATAGGGCATTTGATCCTTTTCTTTATTCACTTTGTTTATTCCTTTGTTTATTCCATTTAACATACTTCTAATCTCAGATGTGTTCTTCATTTCAGACTGGTTCCCTTTTATAATTTCCATTTCTATTTTTATGTTTTTTATCTCTTTGTTGAAGTTCTCACTGAATTTATCTACACTTCCCAAAAGATCTTGAGCATCTTTACAACCAGTGTTTTGAACTCTGCATCTGTTAGATTACTTGACTCCATTATATCTGGATCTCTGTTCTGTTCTCACATGGTTTCTGCTTCTTTGTCTTCCCATTTTGGCTGCCTTTCTGTGTCCATTTCGATGTACTAAGCAAAGCTCCTAAGTCTTCCAGTCTTATTAGTGTGGATTTGTGAAGTAGGTGTCCTGTGACACAGTCCTGAGAGAGGTTCAGCTGCAGGCCAAACTTAGCCCAAGACTCTACCCCTTGGGGCCACCTGTTAAAATTCAGCAAGCAAACCACAGATGCTGTGCTTATAGTTGCCTCAAAAGGCCACACCAGAAACTGAGGCCAGCTGCCTCCAATGTGAGTCTAGGTGCTGCTCAGCAAGAAGTACGGGGCTCGCTGAGGATACACCTGGATGTGGCTTGGGTGAGGCCACGAATTGGGGGAGGCAGGGTTTCAGGGAATCTTCTGGGCAGGGAGACCTCTGTTATCTAGTTTGATGACTTCAGGCCTATGACAGCGCTGTGTCTGCGCCCTGGGAGCAGGGAGGGCTCAACAGGGATTAATGGATACTGCCGG